CCTCGCGGGTCGGTACCGCAGGGGACGGGAGCGGGGTGGCGGCGGCTGGTGACAGCCGGGCCGGGCTGTGTCTCATCCCGCCGCTGGCTCGCTGCGGGAATGCTGCAGCGCCGGACGACACTGAGGGATTTGCTAAGACCGATCCCACCTAAAGCGCCCGGTGAACCTGCCGTCCCTGGTGTGCGGTGATGATTCCTTGCTGTTCCTTTGGGAATACTGCCCCTGCTCTCCCTGCACGCACCGTGGAGCTCCCTGCGCCGCTCCTCACAGGGAAGGGGAAAACCAGAGCCCTGGCGCGTCCCCGGGACGCAGACCCGCAGCTCCGCAGGGTCTTCGCTTGCCCTGGGCTGCATCGTCTTCCCTCGATTCTTCCCCATCATCAAAAATGGAAAGGAAAAGGAGGTGTTTGTGTGACCTCCATTAGGCTGTTTCATGTGTCTGCAGATTTCTAAGTCAAATAACATGGTGGGAATGTCAACAAACTTTAAAAACAAAACTGCTAGTTATTCCTTCTGGTTCACTGGAAGTCCTGCTCTAAGTCCGGGCGTTTGGCGCAATCAGTAGTTACAAAGGCCAACTTTGTAACTTTTTTTCTTCAAAAATGTTAATCTGATACTTAGTAGTGAAGATGTGACAGGAGGAGCCCCTGGTTGGGGTGTCTCTGGTTAGTCTCCCGCAGCCCTCCTCCCGCTCAGGCCAGCAGTTACCTCAGAATTCCTCTTTTCCAAGGCTGTCTGACTGTCTCGGACTCCTTCAAGTACCTGGATTGGATGTTCAGGTCTCGGGCTGTTCTGAGCAATCTGTCCTTAGCGGAGCCGGGTGCGCGCGGCTCGGGATGGCGGATGGTGCCCGTGCCGCCGGGAGCGCCGCGCCGTGCCGTGCCAGGAGCGCTTCCTTTTTTTTTCAGGCTCCGCGGCGGCAGCTGGGGTTGGCGGCCGTGCCGGGGAGAGGACGCTGGCACCAGGACAGCCCTCCTGCAGCGCCGAGGCCGGCGCGGCCGCGTGGGGGCCGCTCCGAGCGCGGGGGAGCAGGGACCCGCGCGGCCCTCCCTGCAGGAAGGGCTGGGGCGCTCCTCGCCGTCACCCCGCAGGCCTTGTTCACTTGGTAATAGCAAGGTTTGAGCCCCTAACCCATGGGGTTGGCTTGTTCATTCCTGAAGTTTTTCTTCCTCTGTGGGTAGAGCAGTAAGCAGCAGCAGAGAAGCATGCGCAGACATCCCTCCCCCCCAGGAAAACCCGCATCTGAATAAAGATCACTGCGTCTTTCAGGCGAGTTTCAGTTTACACAGGTCGGTTGTTAGCCCTTCTCCAGTGGGGCACTCTTTAAATAATAATCAGAGCAGGCCCTGTAACAAGAGCGTGTTTGCAGGCCTTCCTTCGGCCCTTGGCTCTGCGAGGACGGGCCGGGCCAGCCCAGCTTCCCGACAGCGCCGGAGGGGTCGGCAAAGCGAGGAGGAGGAGGAGGAGGAGGAGGAGGAGGAGGAGGAGGAGGAGGAGGAGGAGGAGGGCCTGGATGCAGGGGCTGGCAGGGCACCCTGCTCACGGGCACCCTGCTCAGGGCACTGCCGGGCTCGGGCCCGAGCTGCCTCGTGATCGGGCTGGCGATGTTTCGTGATCGCTGAAATGACCACGACTCCAGCGCACGCCTCTGCGCTGTTCCGTGGGGGCCGCAGGGCTGCGGTGGCAGCGCCCCACACCACCCGCAGAGCTGTGGGGCCGC